CTGATTTTGGGTTTTTTCACGTTCCCTTATGGGGAGAGGAGAGTTCCTGTGGGAAGACCAGCCTGGACTCTGCTCCGACAGAGCTGCTTTGGCTGAGAACTGTTTCCTGCCACCCAAACCATCATGTGCTGAAGGCTATTTCAATATGGTAGTTCAGGATAACTTCTGACCCACTTGGTCTCTCTGTAGTTTGTGGAGTATCCTGAGTACTTGGATCTTCTGCCATACATGTCTGACATAGCTGGAGAACCCCTCCTCTACTCCTTATACGCCGTCGTGGTGCACAGCGGTGACACCTGTCTGGATGGACACTTCTTCTGCTACACAAAGGTAAAGACCAGCTTCCCTCCTGAAGGGGAAAAATGTGTGCTGGGGAAGACAAACTTTCCCATTTTGGGGGAGAAGGTCTATTTTGCGGCTGGGTTGTATTCGGTGTACTCTTGGTTTGGAACCCTGCAGTTCCTCTCCAGAGATGGGTGCCTTCCTTTGCAGGCCAGCAATGGACTGTGGTACAAGATGGATGATGAGTCTGTGGATAACTGTGGCATCCACGCAGTTCTCAGGCAGCAAGCCTATTTGCTGTTCTATGCCAGGTAATAACCAGCGCCACGTGTTCAAATATGTTTCCTTTTCCTGGATTTGCTGTTTGTCTTCTCACCCTCCTGAGTGTGAGAAGGGCCATAGGAGACAATTCCTCCCTGCATTCTTCAGCGCTGTCAATTCTGAACTACCCCACACCAGTCCTTCTCTTCCCTTGCTGGGTTTTAGGTTTGCTGCCCTATGTGAACTGCTCCCTTTCTGTTCTCTGAAACTGGCTCACATAGAGAAGGGGACTTAAAAGGGTCTTCCAGGAAAGATGGGGAGGGACTCTTTCTCAGGGAATATAGTGATAGGACAAGAGGTGAAAATTTCAAAGTGAAAGAGAGAAGATTTAGATTAGATATTAGAAAGAAATCCTTCCCTGTCAGGGTGGTAAGGTACTGAAATAGGTTGCCCAGGGAAGTTGTGGCTGCCCCACCTCTGGAAGGATGGCTTGGAGCAACCTGGTGTAGTAGAAGATGTCCCTGCCCATGGTGGGGGGTTTGGAAGGACCCTTCCAAACCGAATCTTTCTAGGATTCTGTGAACTGGAGGCCATAGAGGGTATAGAGATGAGGACTTGCTCTGACAAGGGCAGACCTGGTGGGAAGACCCCAGTCGAATTTCCCATTGGTGACTTTGGTAAAGTCTTCCCTCTGTTGTGGAAACCGCCCCAGGAAAACTACTGAATCCCAGAGGAGTCTGCAAGGAATGCCCTAAACAGAGGTCACTCTTTTTTTTTCTCCAGATGCTCTGATTTGAAAATGAGAGAAATGGTGGCTTCCTCACCGACCCCCTCCCATGCCCATTCCCTCCCGAGCGAGTGTGAGGGCAGCAGCAAGCAGGCGGGTTCTGCAGGACCACAGGGGCTGCCCGACAGGACCACACGGACTTGCTGCCAGAGGAGGAGTGCCACGGAGGAGGCCCAGAGCAGATCCCTGCAGTGGGGCAGCTGGTTTGTCAACAGCACCGACTACGACAACTCAACAGGGAGGAAAAGGAAGAGAACCAGTCCTCCAGGACGTGACCACGCTCCCCAGGACGGCACAGCTTCAGAACCCTCCAAAAGAAGCTGCCAGAGAGCTCCTGCACCCAGCGCTGCTCAGAAGCAACCACTGCAAAGGCGGAGAGAACAGGGCAGATCGCTGCGGCAGGGCTACAACCTCCGCAGGCGCTTTGTGGAGATCACGGACTACCACCAGTCAGCAAAGAAGAGGAGGAAACATTCACCTGGAGTCAACAGGCAGAAGAGCCAAAGCCAGGATTAAAACCGCTTGTTGGCCTTGCATGAATAATTTACGGGGTGTTTCCTTCTTAGGTTTTGGGGCAATCGGTGGAAATACCCGCTGTGGGATGTTCCACCGACCCTCACCTTCCCCGACCCATTCCCGACCCCGCTCCCTGATCCCTCATTCCCTGCGCAAGCCGCACTGAAAGCCTCCCCCTCCACCCACCCGCCCGCCTCCTCGCACGGCTGGCGCGGGGGGCACGGGCGGAATCCCCGCGGGGCCGGGACGCTGTCGCCGGGGCTGCGTGCATTGAATAATTGGATTTAATAAATTCCGCTCGTCAAAGGACTGCGACCGGGAGGGGCGGGCGGTGAGGGAGGGGCGGGGCTGAGGGAGGGGCGGGGCTGAGGGAAGGGCGGGGCTGAGAGAGAGGAGGGGCTGAGGGAGGGGCGGGGCTGAGGGAGAGGTGCGATAGGCTCGCGGCCGCCGGGGGGGCGGGGCGAACGGGGCGGGGCCGCGGGAGGAGCTGCGTGGCTCCGCCCCCACGGCGTCGCGTGACGTCGCCCGTGGCGACCGCGGCGCCCTCGCTGAGGGGCCGGAGCGGCGGCGGGAGGAGCGTGAGGGACCCGCGGTCAGTGCGGGGCTCGGCCGGGCCGGGGGGAGCGGGCGGAGGGCTCTGGGACACCCACCTGGGCCGGGCCGGGCCGGGGCGAGGCGCCTGGGTTGTCTGTGGTTCTCGGTGGCGCTGGGGCGGCTCTCCCGGGCGGCCGCGTTTGGGCCGAGCCGCTCCCAGGTGTAAGACCTGGGGCGGCGGCTCCGGGCGGGCAGGGGCAGGGGCAGGGGCTCGGGGGCGCTGGTGACCGCGCCCGCAGGTGGCAGAGCAGCCGCGGCCTTCGCGGCACCGGGCGGGCGGTGCCGGCGGAGGGAGGGCCGGGAGGAGCGGGCAGCCGGTGCCCGCCGCCAGCGCGGGGTGCGGGCGAGCTGCGGGACTGCCCCCCCTGCGTCCCAGGGGGCCCGGTACTGCCCGGGGAGCTCCGGGCCCCGCTGTGCCGGTGCTGCCGCGCCCGGAGCCGCCCGTCCTCCAACCTTTCTCCCGACGCCGCCTGCGGTGCGCAGTCGGCGCGGTGCGAGCGGGATGTGGAGCGGAGAGACACGGGATGTGGGGCGGAGAGACACGGGATGTGGAGCGGAGAGACACGGGATGTGGAGCGGGGAGACACGGGATGTGGAGCGGAGAAACACGGGATGTGGAGCGGAGAGACACGGGATGTGGAGCGGAGAAACACGGGATGTGGGGCGGAGAGACACGGGATGTGGGGCGGAGGAGACAGGGGATGTGGAGCGGAGACCACGGGATGTGGAGCGGAGAGACACGGGATGTGGAGCGGAGGGACGGACGGGAAGCTGCTGCGGACCCCACTTGTTGTCCCCGCTGCGTGCTCCTTCCTCGGTGGGCAGCGCCAACTCGCACACCGCGGCGAAGGATTTCTGTTTCTTTATTCCAGTTGCCAAAGCAGGGAGGTGGGTGGTTCCCACAAGAGGCCGGCTCCCCGCTCATCCAAGCTTTACGCCATTGAAACATTTTAACAAACAAAGGCATCAACATTCTCTGGTTCCCGATTATGTAACTTTTTAATTAATGAGCACTCGGCCCCTATTTGCTAGGTGTATCTCTCCTAAATAGTCCACAGATGCATTGGAGTTGGGGTCCATTTGGAGTAGGTGGTCAGTGGTACTGCTCAGTACTGCTGGCTTCCCTCCTGGTGGCTCTGAGCCTCTTGGGATTGTATTCCTTTTTCCTTAAACAAAAGATTAGCCAAGCATACAACGCTTGGACTGCTCATGTCAGTACAAAGCTCCATCTCTGTCTCAGGTAGTGTCTCATCTCGGAGATATGGCCTGCTAGAACAAATTTGTTCAATAGTTACCAAACTGTCAGGATACAGTTCTCCTGTTCCAGAGACTGGGAGCAAAGTGGCTGGGTTAGGACTCATGATGCCACTGTTTCAGCTCCTTTGCCAGGATAATCCTTGTGGGAGAACGGTCCAAGAGAGCTGCATCTTCCATCCCGTAGTTGGATTTTCCCATTCAATGGCAAAGAAAACTTGATTCTTTTTGGCCACAAGTACACAAAAGATGATGTCTTCTACATCTAACACACTGTAAAGTACATCTGAATCTCTGGTATTAAGGATTTGGGACTAGCAGATGCCCATCAATCTTGCACTACAATGACTTAGGCTTTTTCACTGGAAGGAGAGTTAAATTCTGATTGGCATTCACTTAATAACCAGAACTATAAGAAAGAATCTATTGACAGTTCCGATCCTGACCAGGCACCTGACTTTATAGCATACTCTTTTCTCCTTACAAGTCAGACTCCTGATTTCAGTTTGGTCTTTTTGACCCCCAGGCAGGGGCCAGACCAGCCTTTTCCAGATTGCCCTTCCAGTGCCCTTCTCCCAACTTCTCATCCCAAGGGGCAGCCCTACCCCCTGACTGCGTGCACAGAGAGGTACCCACAGCCTGGCTGCAGCCAGCTGGGCCCCCAGCCCACATCCCTGAGCCCACCTGCCTTCCCCACAGGGCTCCCCAAACCTGCTGCCCCCAGCACCCCCATGCCATGCCCTGCCCTGCCTGTGCCAGCCGGGCTGGCAGCTGAGCCTGCCCTGCTTTGGTCCCTCCCCTGGTGCAGCCCAACTGCTCCTTGACAGGACTGGCCTGGTGCAGGCTCAGCTCTTCCTGCAGCTTCTGTGCAGCTCCTCTCGCCTCCCTGGGCCCACAAGGGCTCTGAAGCCCCTTGGGCTTCTCAGGGCATCTCTAGGGCTGGGCAGGGACGTGGCACAGGCAGAGGGATTGTCCCTGGCATTCGGACCACATTGCCCCCAGAGCTCCCTGCAGTGGCAAGGAAGGCTATTCCCAGGGTCAGGAGCAGCACCCAAGGCTCAGGACACCAGGCACAGCTGGCCTGATGTTGCACTGGTGGTGTGTAACCATTGGCACGCTGGTGCTGGTCTGTGCTTCGGTTTCCCCGTGGGTAATAGCTGTGCCATCGTGGAAGTGGGTGAGAGTTCCCGTGTCCTGGGGCTGGGTGTAGAAGCAGGGCTGGGCTGAGGAGATCTCCCCTGCCTCCAGGGCAGCAGCTCAGGCAGAGCCAGGCTGTGCCGGAGGGAAACAAGGAGGCAGAAGGGGGTTTTCTTCTCCATTTTTTTGTCTTCATTATTTTGTTTAATTTATTAGTAACTTTTGCATGAAAAAAGTTAAAGTGTAGAAGTATCTGTGCAGTTCTTCAACATATCTGCCAAACATGAGAATAGAACTGAAAGAAATAAAAAGAAAGTTTGTCAATGTAAACATCTAGGCCCACACCCAAAGCCCCTCTTAAGTCTATCTAATATAATCTAGTCTATCACCTGCCATCTACCATCTCCAGTGAAGTGTTAATGGAAGCAGGTCAGAATGTTCCAGTCTGTGACATCCCTCTCTGGCAAAGAGGCCTGGATGTTTTCAGCCCCCTGGTCAACGGGGACGAAGTTGGAGAGGTTCTCGGTTGTTTCCTTGTGCCAGGCACACTCCAGGAAAGCTGTGGCCATGAGGGTTTCATCCAAGCCTGGGTTGTTGTGGTTGGGTTTGGTGAGGACTCGCTCCTGTCCTTGGGGACAGTCCGTGTGCTGCCCTTGTCCCGTCCAGTCCAGGTGGGGTGTTATGGGCTGGATGGGAGGCGGGAGCTCCAGATCCCCAAGAATGGAGAAGTCTCCTTCGTCCAGGTGGTTGTTCAGGAGAGCTTCCCAGTCAGTGTCACCCTTCAGCTCGGTCAGGTCATTCCTCTCTTCCTGGGTCCCGGAAGCAGAGCTGGGAAGCCGAGACGCCTTGGCCGTTGGCGTGGGCTGCTTGCGCTGCTGCCCCGCTTCCTTCTCCACGCCATTCCAGTTCTGGCTGTTTTCAAACTCTTCAAACTCCTTCAGCAGCTGCTGCAGCTCCATGCTGATCTCGAGGTTGTTATGGGAGCTGCAGGCTGAGGCAGCTGGGCTGATGACGTGCCATGCCTCTTGCTGGGCTCTTTCAGGGGAGCCTGGCTGGATCTGCACTGGTGACATCCTCCACTCTTTGAAGGCCCTGCTCTTGAGCCGGTTGGCATATCGGGAGTGGAGCTTCCAAAATGCGCCTCTCCCTGGTTCGCTCTTCTCCCGGGTCACCTTGATGAAGCACTTGTTGATGCAGAGGTTGTGCCGGATGGAGCTCTAGGTCCAAAAGAGAAGAAAACCCAAGGCTGAATGCTTGTCTACTGGCGTGAGAGGGACCTACCTGTGTGGGGAGGCTGGTGCAAAAGCAGGTTTTCAGCAAGGCCCTTTGGGAAAAGAAGCAGGAATGGCAACACCAGGACATCTCGGGCTACATGCCCTCCAGAAAATCCTCTGAATGTGCCTGAAGTGCAGCAAATAATCAGAAAGGAAACTCAGCTGTTGGGTAAATAACCCAGCATTGGGCTCCCCAAAGCCAAGCCAAAGCAGCCAGCTCTTCCTCCCAAAGTGCTCACGTAGTTCCCCCGGCACAGGAGAGGCTGGGGAACCCAAGTGGCCCTGGAAAGGAAGAGGGACCGTCAGGGGTTCTCTTGCCTGTCATGGGCTTCAGGAACCGCTGGAGACCCAGCTGCCTGGGGAGAAGGTGGGCAACTCCTGGGCAGGGGGCTTGCATTGGGTTTGCCCAGCCTTGGCTGGGGGAGCGCAGCCAGCCAGGATCATGGGAACACTGTAGATTTGGGCTGGCAATAACCAAGCGGGAGGATGAGCCGCCCACAGCCCTCTTGCCCTGCCCTCTGCTAGAAAGCCTCACGTGCCAGAGTGGCCCTCATGTGACCTCGTGTGATGGAGGAAGGCAGCAAGCCCAGGTGGCTGGGAAAAGCTGCTGTGGGGAGGGCTTCAGGCTGTCCCCAAAGCTGGTAAGCCTGGGGCTGTCCCCTCCCTGCTAGGGACACACTTGTGCTAGCTGGGGACAGCAGCCTTGTTTGACCCCTCTTGGTCTTCCCTCTGCAGGTCTCAGCAGCTTTTCCCAGCGATGGAGCCTCCTTGGCTGTCTGAGGGGCCAGGAGACCAGCCCTGTGCCCTGCTTGAAAAGCAGCAGCGCTTCATCTGGGAAACTCCCCAATGAGTGACTTGTCCAACAAACAGCATCTCCATGCCTCTCCTGTGCCTGGTCCTCAGCACCCAGGGATACTCAGTGTGGTGACTTTTTGCACGTGTGCTCAGCCCTGAGGGACTCGGGACCCCACCAGCGTTCCGGAAAGGTAGGGACTGAGAGGCCTTTGCCACAGAACCAAGAGGAGCCTCAGGGGCTGGGAGCCCAATGGGTACCTCCCAGCTCCCAAAATGGCCCCAAGCTCTACCCCAGGAGGGCTCCTTCCCTCTGTCACCCCGGCAGCCCTGGCATTTGTGCCCAGCCAAGTTCTTTCCCGTTCCAGCCCTTCCCCACCAGCTGCCGGGGCCACTCTCCTCCCTGTGGGATCCAGAATCCCTGTGGGACCTTGTCTTGCAGAGTGGAGGCTGTGGGAAGCCCTGCCCATCCCTGTGTGGAGAGGGGCCGAGGCAAGAGGGCTGCAAATCTCCTACCTGCCAGGTGGGATCAGCAGGTTGGAAGTAGCAGAAGTTGTCACTGATCCACTTGCAAATGGCCGAGAGGGTGATCTTGGGCTTCTTGCTGGCTTCCATCGCCATGCAGATGAGGGTGGCGTAGGAGTAGGGTGGCCTGACGTGCGGGTTGGTCTTGTAGTTGATGTTCCCCGTGAGCTGAGAGGGCTCAGCCACGTCGTGGTGCGTCGTGGTGGTCATGGAGGTGGTGGAGGAGGAGATGGCCGTGCGGGGAATGTCGATGTACTCGCACAGCTCCTCAGCAGTCAGGGGAAAGCCTGGGGACTGAAAGTCCACCAGACTGACCAGATTTTCCCAGATGGTGCAGCGGTCCTCGGGGTCCTCAGATATCGGGGGCAAGCCGATGTGGGCGCCTGTGAGGTTAACCAGCCACGTGAGGTCTGGCTCACTGCCAGGCCTGTCTTCCTTGGCGGAGCTCGATTGCCCCTGAGCTCTCAGCACAGGGCTGGAGCACACCATGCCTTGGCACGTCACCGGGTGCATGTGAAGGGGAGGGAATGGATGGAACAGATCCTGCAAGAACAAGAGGGAGAGGGTTGAGGTTCCCTGAGGCACAGTCGTTCTCTGGCACCTGGGCAGGGCTGGGCCTGAGTGCTCCAGATGTCACTGGGCAAGACCCATCCCTGGAGTGCTGGGCATGGGAGCTGCAACGTCTGCCCTGGGGGTACTTTAGCAGCCCTGGCCCTCGGGAAAATTCCCTCAAACCGTCGTGCTCCCAGTGCCACCCAACTCCAGTGGGCTGGTGCTGCCCAGCAAGCTTTTGGCTGAAAAACCAACAAACCCTCCCCACAACCAACCAAAATCTGGCCCTGCCATCCCACCAAGAGAGGTCGTTTCTCCCACCTGTCGTGAGCAGGGCAAACTCTCAGGGTCTTAACACCTCGGCGAAAGACCCTAAAGTCTTCCATCTGGTCCGTCCCATCCCCACAACCTGCCTCCCTCGGTTTGATGCTGATTATGCTTCTCCCTTCTCCTGGTACCCCAAACGAACCCGGGTGTGGGGGGGCGCAGGGACCCACGCCAAGCACAGCGTCACTTGGAGCCAGCCGGCAGCTCCAGGCTTTGGGGAGTACCGGGCAGGGGATGCGGCGCTGGCTCCGGTGCCGGGCTGCAAAAGCGGAGTGCCGTGGTGGATTTCGGGCCACGAGAGAGCGAGCTCCCGGACGGCAGCGGGGGCCGCTGGCCCGGCTGTCGCGGGGGTTTGGCGGCGAGAGCGATGCGGAACCCCCCGCGCGCGGGCGGCGCGGCCGTTGGGGGGAGCAGGGGCAGCTCCCCTCCCGCTTCCAGGAAACGGGCTTTTTATTTTTTTCCCCCGGACCAGGACAGGGGTTTTCCGCCAAAACGAAGGCTCCGGGCAGCTTGCTCGGGTGCCCGGTCCCCAGCGTCAGCACCCAGCCCCGGCCGGCTCCCGCGCCCGCAGTACGGGAGGGGGGGCATCCCCCAAGTGCTCGCTCGCCGCAACCCTCCGCAGCGGCGGGCGGGCCCGTCCCGCCGCCCTCCCCAGCCCCCGGCCGCTCCCCGCCGCCGTCCCTTACCCCGTGCCGGTGTCGCGCCGCAGCTGCCGCAGCTCAGGAGAGAGCTCGTCGTTTTTGGAAACGCAGGGCGGCAGCAAAAAAAAAACAACAACAAAACAATCCGTAGGAAAAAAGAAGGGGCAAGAGCAGGGCCGAGGACCCGCCGCCCTGCGCTGTGCCCGGGCCGGGCCGTGCCCACCGAGTCGCCGACAGTCGCGGAGAGTCGCGGAGAGTCGCGGCCGCCCCGGCGCTGGGGACGGGGGGTCTGAGAGGGTTCGCGCGTGGCGGCGGCGACGCCCCGCCCCGTCAACATCGCCCGGCCCTGCCATTGGTGCGCGCGTTGCCGTGGGCGGGGCCTGTCGGACGGGCACCGCCCCCGCGGCGGGAAGGGGCCCGGGGGTTCCCCGAGGATGCTGGGGAATCATGGAATCAGGGAATCAGGGAATCGGCCGGGTTGGAAGGGACCTCTGAGATCATCAAGACCAACCTTTGGTCCACTACTATTAAGTGCCACATCCAGTCTCATCTTAAAAACATCCAGGGATGGAGAATCCACCCCTTCCCTGGGCAGCCCATTCCAATGGCTGAGCACCCTCTCTGGAAAGAATTTCTTCCTAATATCCAACCTAAACCTCCCCTGGCACAGCTTAGGACCATGCCCTCTTGTCTTACTGATCGTTTCCTGGGAAAAGAGACCAACCCCCCCCCGGCTCCCCCCTCCTGTCAGGGAGTTGCAGAGAGTGAGGAGGTCTCCCCTGAGCCTCCTCTTCTCCAGGCTGAGCCCCCCCAGCTCCCTCAGCCTCTCCTCACAGCACTTGTGCTCCACTCCCTTCCCCAGCCTCGTTGCTCTCCTCTGGACCTGCTCCAGCCCCTCCATGTCCTTCCTGAGCTGAGGGCCCAGAGCTGGACACAGCACTCCAGGGGTGGCCTCACCAGTGCTGAGTCCAGGGCAAGAATCACTTCCTTGGACCTGTTGGCCACCCTGTTCCTGAGCCAGGCCAGGATCCATTGGCCTTCTTGGCCCCCTGGGCTCACTCTGACTCCTGTTCAGCTTCCTGTCAATCCAAACTCCCAGGTCTCTCTCTGCCTGGCTGCTCTCCAGCCACTCTGTGCCAGCCTGTGGGGCTGCACGGGGTTGTTGTATGGTGGACCAGCCGTACCCCACAGCCAGGGCCACAGCCAGCCCCAGCAGCCCCAAAGCCTGTGTCCAAGATTTTGGACACAATGGGGTAGAACCCCCACCCCAAAAAAGGCTCTTCCACCCACCAAAACCCAACCTCACAGATACTCATACAACACTGACATGTAAATCCTTCTATTTTCACTTTGATTTTTATTTGATCCATCTTCATTCCTTCAAAACACCTGAAATTGGGGTAAAAATAAAGAAATACAACAAAGCATCTAAAGTCGTATCATTTTACTGGAATTTGGAGTTCAGGGGATATTCAGGAGGATTTGGGGATTCTGGGCAGATCTGGGAGAATTTTCTCCATTGCTTTTCACTCCAAGAGCCAAGAGGGATAAATCCATCACCTCAAAACTACTCATCCCACTGAAAATGGCTCAATCCCACCTCAAAATTACTCGATCCCACAGCCCCTCCAAACCCCCAAGAGCAGTGGGATGGGGATTGGGAGGGTTAGAATGGGGTGGGAAGTTGCTTGGGAGGGGTGGGATTGGTTCTTGAAGGAGTGGGATGAGGTTTGGAAGGGGTGAGATGGGGGAAATTGTTCTTGGGAAGGGGGTCTTCATGCCTGGGGGAGGGGTGGGATGGATGGGATGGGGTCTGGAATGAGAGAGCTGAAGGTTGGGGATGATGAGGCCGGGGGGGATCCCATTTCTGAGGGCATTTTGGGGTATCCCCCATTCATGAAGTGATTTTTGGGTATCTGCCATTCCTGAGGGGGTACTGGGCTACCCCCAGTCCCGAGGGAGTTTTTGTGGTACTCCCCAGTCCTGAGGAGGGGACTGTGAGGGAGGGGATGTGTGGCTCCAGCACTTGGAATGAGGTGCCGCAGGGAGGGACACTGGGAGCCTGTTTTGGGGAGGATTCTGATGCTTTCTGCCAATTTGGAGGATTATCAACAGCTTTGGGGGGGTTTACCGCTCATTTTGGGGGGCTGAGGTGACCCCCCCCCTCATCTTGGGAGGGTTACATGGCCCCATTTCTGAGAGGATCCTGCTGCTTTCCACCAAGTTTGAGGGGTTATAAACAACCCTTGGGGGTTCTCCCCTCATTTTCGGGGGTTGGGATGACCCCATGGCTCCAGTGATGGCTGAAGGGGGGTTATAACCCCCAGCTGGGGGTGATACAATCAGCTTGTGCAGGTCCCATATTAGATGGAAATCCCACCTGCAGGAGGGTGTCCCTTCTTCCTTCAGGTCCCCTGGGGTGGGTCTAGGACCACTCCCGACACGGGGGCACCCCCTCTCCTGGCCATCCTACCTCCCGTGGACCACAGACTCTGGCACCCACTGCACCCCCAATTCCGGCCTCTCCCAGTCCCCAACTCCTCCTTTCCTCAACCTCAGGGATCCCCTGAACCCCCTTCTTGGACATCCCATGTCTCCCCACCCACTGAACCACCTTTTCCTGACACTGGAGGCCCCTGGATGCCCCTTTTCCTGGGCACAAGGACCCCCTGGACCCCCCATCCTGCCTCTCCCCACCCCTAGCCCCGCCTTTCGTTGACCTGGGGAACCCCCCGGACCCCCATTCCCAGACACTGGGACCCCCCTGCACCCTCTTCCCCAGCTCCAGACTCCCCCTGCACCCCCTTATCCTGCATCCCTCCTCCCTACACCCCCTTTCTCGCCTATCCCACCTCTCCCCCCCCCCCAGCCTCCCCCTGCCTTGACTCTGGGACTCCCCAGGCCCCCCAAACCCCCGTGTCCCCCGATTCCCCCCTCCCTGCGTTACCTGTTTGTGGCGGGGTCGGAGCCCAGCCCGGGGCTCCCCCACCTCATATCTGTGGAGGAGGAGGAGGGGAAGGGGCTGGAATTAGGGAGGGGCAGGAGCGGGAGGAAGTGGAGGGGGAGGAAAGGGCGGGATGGGGAGGATCCGGAGCAGGAAGAGCAGCGTCGGCCAGAGCAGAAGGAAAAGCTGGGGGGCCGGAGCTTCCCCGGGAGCATCGCTCCCTCCGCATCCCGCGGGTGAGCCGGGAGGGGGAGCTCGCCCCAAATATCTTGAGGGGTCTCTGGGTTTGTTTTTTTTTCTTTTTGTCGGGGGCCGGTGCGATGTTGAAGCCTGGAGGATTCCAAAGCTGAGCCAGAAATGCCCTTTGGGGCGATATTGGGGGTCCCCGGGAGGTGCTTTTTTGGGGGGGTCCCGGTGGCAGTTCCCGGCAGAGCCCCGGCGGTGGGTGCGGGGATACGGGGTCCCCCCCGGGTGGGATTTGGTCTTCCCTTGGTCAGGAACCGCCGCCTCCATTGTCGGCCCGCTACCCCAAAACCCGCACACCGGTTTTGGGGACCCCCCGGGAAAGCCGGGGATGGGTGGGAACCCCGGGACCCCCGGAGTGGGGAGAACGGAGAGGGGTGATACCGGAGCTGGGGGACCCCCGACGGCCTGGAGAGGGGGGGCAGTTCTGGGACAACGAACTGGGTGCCCGGAGAGGGGGCATTCCCAGGATTCCCGGGCCCCCAGCAGCCTGGAGAGGGGGAACTCAGGAGAGGGGGGACCCGTGGGACCCCTGTGTCCTAGTTAGAGCAGCCGGGCCCAGTTTCGTGGGTGTAACATATGGGTGTAACCCAAACTGGGTGTTCTACACCGTCCCTGTCATTTCCCAGGAACTGTTAACAACAGGTCGTTTGCAGCAGCTGCTCAGAGCACACCTGACCCCTCAGGCTGCAGTTATGGGTGATGTTAACTCTCCTCCAGGGACTCATTAGCACCTCCACACCCAGCCTGAGGGGTCATGTCTGCTAATGGGCCACCAGGGATTCCAAAAATATCTCACATCACCCACTGTGGAACTCCCTGCCCTGGGGGAGGTACTGGGCATTCCCACTCCTGAGTGTGTATAATCTTGGGGTCTTGGGACTTCTGGGCCCGTTTGTCCAGTCCAGAGGAGGACCAGAACCTCGACCAGACTGTGATCACCACCCTCGACCAGCACTCTCACCAACAGGTTTTCCCTCTCCTTTTACTTTGGACTCAGGGGGGACCACGTGGGGCTCCAAAACACCACTCTGTTCGTGCCCCACGGTGCTGGGTTATACATCTGGGTTTTGTGGGTTAAAAACATTTGTTTGTCCATATAATTGTATTTATTGTATTATTTTTATTAAATTGTAACTCTGACTTATAATCTCTTTTGAGTTGGGTTCATTTCTCCAGCACACCCTGGAGAAGGGACCCCTGGGACCTCTGAAACCCTTGGCATTCCTAAGTGGGACCCTGGAGAGGGGGCAATCCCAGAACCCCAAAGTGGGGAAACTGCAGAGGCACAGAGGATTGGGATTCCCAGGACCCCTGGCAGCTTGGAGAGGGTGGTGACCCCAGAGAGGGGGAACCCCCAGTCCATGTGGGACCCCCAGCAGCCCGGACAGGGGGGACCCCTAGAACCCCAAAATGGAGAGACCAGAGAGGGGGATCTCCTGGGAGGGTTTTTTGGGGCTGAATGTTGGTATTTTGGAGGTTTTTACAGTTGCAAGATGCTTGGTGGCTTTTAGATATGGACTTGGACTGGAGGAACCCCCAACCCAATGTGCTCACACCTTGTTTTTGCTCCTCAAAACAGGATTTCTCCTTCCTTGGCCAGATGGAGGAGGAGGCTGCGAGGAAGAGGAAGATGCTGTGGGACACCCAGGCAGGTGAGGAGGAAGTCAGTGCCCCTTTGCCCCTGTCTTTCCTACATCTTCCAGCTGAGCATCACCCCGGCCTGTAGGACAACCCCGCTGACGCCGCTGTCCTGCCGGGGCTGGGTCTGGGGGGATCTCCTTGCCCTTTCCTCTGGCCTGGAGGCAAATCCCCTTCTGTCCTTTCTTTCTGCCCCAGGCCCTGAGTTGAGGATGGAGAGCACGGAGGACAAATCCCCCCAGCAGAACCCGGTGGGAGAGGCCGTTTTGAACGGCTCCAGGGCACAGGAAGGCAGCGGGGAGGAAAAGTCCCGGACATTCCCCAGGAGGAGGGACTCCAAAGCCAGCCCAGGGTGTTTCGAGGAGGAAAGACTCAGCCTGTGCTGGGAAGACAGCCAGAGCTTGAGCCAGAGCTCTGACCTGGTGGTCCCTGAGCAGTTTCACACTCAGGAAAAGCCTTACAAGTGCTTGGAATGTGGGAAGAGCTTCAGATGGAACTCCCACCTCCTCACCCACCAGCGCATCCACACTGGGGAACGGCCCTACACGTGTGGGGAATGTGGGAAGAGCTTCAGGCACAGCTCCCACCTCATCACCCATCAGAATTTCCACAGCGGGGAACGGCCCTACATATGTGGGGAATGTGGGAGAAGCTTCAGCCGGAACTCTGACCTGATCTGCCACCAGAAGATCCACGCTGGGGAACGGCCCTACAAGTGCTTGGAATGTGGGAAGAGCTTCAGCAAGAGCACTGCCCTCCTCACCCACCAGCACCTGCACACAGGGGAACAGCCCTACACATGTGGGGAGTGTGGGAAGAGCTTCAGCCAGAGCTCCAACCTCATCACCCACCAGCGTGTCCACACGGGGGAAAGGCCCTACACGTGTGGGGAATGTGGGAAAAGCTTCAGCCAGAGCTCCAGCCTGACCTGCCACCAAAAGATCCACACTGGAGAACGGCCCTACAAGTGCTTAGAATGTGGGAAAAGCTTCAGCAAGAGCTCCCACCTGATTCGCCACCAGCAGATCCACACAGGGGAACGGCCCTACAAGTGCTTGAAGTGTGGGAAGAGCTTCAACGTCAGCTCCAACCTGATCCGCCACCAGCAGATCCACAGCGGGCAACAGTCCTAAAAGTGTGGGGGGTGTAGGACAACCTTCAGTGGCAGCTGCACCTTCCTCACCCACCAGCAGTGCATCCCCACCAAGGAGAGGCCCTACACATGTGGGGAGCACGGGAGGAGCTTCGTCCACTGCTCCAACTCCATCACCCATCGGAGGACCCTTGTTAGGAAGAGACCTGGTGACCCACGTTCTGGGTGATCCATGTTGGGCACAGCCCTAGTGATCCGTGTTCCCAGTGAGCCGTGCTGGGCAGTGTATTGGGTTTTGGTAGCAGGGGGGACTCCAGGGGTGGGTTCTGTGAGCAGCTTCCAGAAGCTTCCCTGATGTCTGGCATCTGTTCCAACCCGTCCTGAAGGTGAGGGTGACCCAGGTTCTCATTTATCCATCCCTTGGGGCAGATCAGAGTGAAAGGACAGCAAATGATGGCTGTTTATAAATATGTATGTGTAGGGTTTATTTTAGAACAGTTTGGTTGCCATGTAAAGCAGGTTTGGAGCCATTTTGGTTCTTATTTCTAGTAATAAAAAAGCATAAAAGAAACACTTAGGAAAATTTATAAGGGAAAAGAAAGAATCAGAGTAGAAAAATACAGAGTCACAACCCGAGGATCCAGCATAGACTTGGTTGTTGCAATTCCCATGTCCCTTGGTCCAAGTGATGATCACGGTCTTGATCCATCAGGGGTTTTCAGTTTCAGGGAAAGTTTTTCAATGCCAAATGTTTACTCTTTAAATCCAGGACTGAGAGCAGTTAATTCTGCTTTCTGAGCAGAGACAGTCGTTGGTAAGGCTGTGATTCGATTCCCTTGGTGGTGGTGGTCACTGCTCAGCCTGTCACTCGTTTTCCCTCCCAAACAAAGCTGCTTCCACTGGGTACAATTCCCAGTCAGGGGTTTTGGCTGGAATGGGCTCTTCGGTGATCTGCTAGAAACTGTGCAAACACTCCCAGAGCAACATTCTGCCTCTCACAGATAAACAGTTCAAAAGGTTTTGAGAGATCTGGCAGACCCAGAGCTGGGCCTCTCATCAGGGGGTGCTTTGGCTGCTCAAAGGCTGCTCTTGCACCATCTGCCCAGGTGAGGAAATTCTTATAGGGCTGTTTTTAAAAGTTCATATAATGGTCTTACCACAAGTCCATAGTGAGCAATCTAGAGTGGACACCATCCTGCCACTCCAGGAAGGCAGTTCATGAACTGTTTTGTGGCTCAGGGAGGAGACAGGTGGCTTCTTTTCTTCCTTCCCGGTTTCTGTATTTTTTCATTCAAAAGTAAAGATTTCTTGACTTTCCTTGATCAAGAGGATGCAGAAAAAGGCATGTTTAATACTGTAAACCATTGAAGTGGTTTCTCTCAGGTCCTGCACTAAGCAATGATCTTTACCACTTGCTTTCTTTATGGGTACTTGGATTCACATTCTGCAAGCAAACCATGCTTAGCAAATATGTCTGTTATTGAAACCAATCCAACTTAGCTTTCTAATTTCAAAGGATACTGGTTTTGCCTTACTGATATAGCTCCTTCCTCAGGGGTGATTCGATTTTCCTGGAATTCCACTGTCCCACATGATAGGAACAACTTCAACTTCAGTCGGTGTTACAGGTTTTCTTGTTTTCAAGAAAAAAAAAACCCTGCTTGGAATTTTTTCCCTTTAGCACTGTGAAAGAAAGGTGTTGAGGGAGGGGGGAGGAGATGGCCAGGGTGAGCCAGACACACAAAAGGACCGGCTGATAGCCCCACATTCCGAGCTAATTGCTTCAGAAGACTGCAGGGGGAGGTGAGTTGTTTTTTTCTTCTGGGGACAGGCACTTAACTTTAGCCCTGACTCAGGGAGGGTGTGAGCGAAAAGAAGAGCTCCGGGGTTCATTTTTTGTTTTCGGCCAAGTCACCTGGCCACCTTTGGCCCCTCTGTTCCTTCACACCCTGTCCTGCCCACGGCTCGGCTTCTTGAACAAAGATTTGGGAAGGGCTCTACCCACGTTTGTTACAAACACTGGTGGCTAAAAAGGCCAATACGAGACAGGCACGTCCGGCTGCAGAAGGCAGAGCAGAAAGACTCCTTAGGTGGAATATTCTGCAGGACACGATTCTTTCTGCGTTGTCTTTTCTCCTCGAGAGTGACCCTGCTGCGTTCTCAAAAGCAGCGTTACAGATGGTGTGTCTCCAGACCTCCCGATGGGAGGCCAGAGTAGACCAGTGATGATGATCAGTATGGCCAAGGCTGAGATGTTGTTTCAGGGAGTCCTTGTGTCTTCTCTTCGGGGCTCCTCTCTTGCGGCAGCCGGTGGCAAGTTCACCATAAAGCAGGATCTTAGGGAGGGGGTAAGAGAAGGACAACTCTAAATCTGGGCAGATGGAGCTCGTTCAGCCCTGTAAGGCCATCCATCACTCTAAACAAACCACGTCTTGAGGACCTCGCTGCCACCGTCCAAGCTCACTCGGCCCCGGCAGATGAACCTTAGGATTAAAGGGTGGGCTCAGTTCAGCGCACGCTGTGTCTCACCTAAAAAATCCACTGTGCAGGCTCGAAGGCCTTACCTGCATTTGCAAAGCCCTGTATCACCAGCACGCTGGTAACAAACGTGGGTTGAGACCTTTCCCAAATCTTCTGGCCATGATTGAGGGAGGGGTGGTCCTTCATCCTTGAGGTGTGCCCTGCCCAGCGCAGCTGTGTTCTCAGCAACGTGGCCTCAATGCTTGTTTTAGAACAGACCTATCGGTCACATAATCTGACCAGGGGATGTTCAGGATTGCTCGCCTCAGATTTCATCGGAGGAGCCGGTACCGTCCGCGGAGGAGCTTTTGAGGGGAAAGGCTGCTCTTTGCCCCGCTCCGTGCTGGTGGCAGTTTATACCCATGGGCGAGGAAGGGCAGTTCCAGGCAGAGCCCGATGGGAGGAATCGCCGTCTGTCTGTTCCCTTCTCCCTCCCCGTCTGTCTGTCCCCTTCTCCCTCGCCGTCTGTCTGTTCCCTTCTCCCTCCCCGTCTGTCTGTCCCCCTTCTCCCTCCCCGTCTGTCTGTCCCCTTCTCCCTCCCCGTCTGGGGCGGCCCCTCAGAGACCCGACAGCGCCCCCTGCCGGCCGTGAGCTCGGCGCCGCAGCCCCGCCCCCGGCGCCGCAGCCCCGCCCCCGGCGCCGCAGCCCCGCCCCCTGGTGCGCCAGCGCCCCCTGCTGGCCGCGGTTATCACCGCGCGAAAAAGGACTTTAAATTGTTTTATCGGTGCGAGTTTGGGTGCGGGATCGCTGCTCGTTTCCTTTCGTTGTGTTACCTGTACCTTATATGTTCTCTAGTAAAGAGCTGTTATTTTTTTCTTTTCCACGCCTGGAGCGTCTTAATTTCGAAGTCATGATTACTTAGGAGTAATTATTAATTACTCGGTTTTTCTCATATCCCGCCCTCCTTAGCGAACGCTTCTGCCTCGTTAAGCTGAGACAGTCAGGATGTTGCTGCTAACTAGAGTTGCCTCCTGCATAAGAAGAGCTGCTGCTTTGACGTATTTAGTCTCAGCAGTTACAGTTTCAATATCCCCATTTTTAAAATTTAATTTCTGTCTCTAGTTTTCCAATAAATCTCGTCCTGGAATAGGTTTAGGGGAGTTTGGCAAATAGAGAAAGGTGCCTGCACAGAAAGCTCTTGCTGTCCCTGTTGTGCCAAGAGTGGTGCACCAACTGCACTTGAGAGATTCAAGGTAAGGTGTGGCATTGAAGGCACAGCAATACCCAGGCCCTGAGTATGAGCCTGTGCCCTGTCACTGCCTTCTGTCAAGCTGTGGGGAACCACCCCCAAAGGAGCAGCACATTTGAAAGTATAGAAAGAAAAATGTAATCATTTACCAAAAAAAAAAAAAAAGAAAAAGAAAGGAGATAAAAATCAGAAAGACTGTAGCAAATCCACCTCTTGTGTAGCTAATCCACCTCCTGAGGGATGCTTCAGTGGACAGGAGAATTCCAGTGACAGAATGTGGCTGGCTGTTGCTCCTGGTTTTGTCATGTAGTGCAGGACAACATCCTTGCCCCACCTGCTGCTCCCCAGGGTCAGTGGGTGCTGCTGCAGAACTCGCCCCAGGGGCAGTTGCTGAGCTCAAAACCTGCAGCTGTCAGCAGAGAACAAGTAGAGAAAACCCTCTTTGTCCAAATGCCCTTGGAATGCAGAGGGAGAGAAGGGACCTGGGGCAGACACCTCAGCAGAGGGGCCCTGGCAGAACAGGCATCTCCCCTCCTTTTCAGTGCCTTTCTTCCAGGCTGCTGTTTTCCAATATTCCCAGCACGTTGCTGTCTCAGTTTGTATATAAATGTTTCTGCATGTGTTCAGGATGGCTCTTCCCATAAGGAATGCTGCCTCCTCCATGGAACAGAGATGATGATCTACCAGCCAAGCAGATTCACTCACTCAGAACCACTTTCTGCTCCCCCATTTTCTCACAGGAGACCATAAATCTATAATTTCTGTGGATTTTTGCCTTTTCCAGGAAACTGAACTGAGAGAAAACCAGGATCAGCCAGAGCAGCTGCTGTGCTTTTCCTAGTTCTGCCATGAAATGAGATTTAAGAGGCTGGTGTCCATCCTTGGCTGTACCCTCTGTATCCCTCTGGCACACAGAGGGATAATTAATGAAAAATTAGTAATCTGTATTTATGGGCTCCTTTTGCAGACAATATTTGATTAATCTCCACAGTCATCTACTCAAATAAGAAGAGATTAACCGACATCCTAATCTGTCATAAGTCATACAGGCAGGGAGAGGAAGCTTTTACCTTGAGAGACAGACAGACAGAGCAGAGCCTACATTAGGGTTTAGCCTACATTGGTCTAAATCTAATTTAAGCCAACATTAGGACCCTTAAATAATGGAATTTTAGACTGTGCTTCAGAGGACTGTAATCTGTGATGTTGTTATGTGCTTCTCCCTCTGCATCCACCTGTCATTGTTGCTCTTCACACCAGTTCTTGTCTCTAGCAAAGAGAATCAGCTCACTCACTGAGTCAGATGCAGTGGGACCAGGAGCCCTCAGCCTGCAGGGCTTTTTTTGGGATGTCAAGATCTGCCAGCTCCATTGAGAAGCATCAGGGGTTGGGATATTTGGGAAAGCAGGAGCTTGTTTTCTGCAGGAGTGTCCCGTGTGATGGTTTCCGGGGAGCTGCTGCAAATTTGCAAATCAAAACCAAACAAAATCAACCGGGACATTCTGGATTTCCTCAGGCTATAAAAACATTGAAGCCTCTAAACATATCAGACCTGTTTTTCCACATTCCAGGGCTACAGCCTACCTGTACCCTAAGGCTAAGATGAAATCACTGTCTCACACAGTGATCTGTCCTTACATTCACAAGCTCTCTGAAAAATTCCCTCCCCAGATTTGCTTCAGGGGGGACATAAAGGAAACAGATAAGGAAATATTACAAACAGAACTTTTCCTGTGGATGCTCTGTGAAAGATGCAGATGCACAAGTGTCAAGGAGAGACCAGGCTCCAAGGTATTCATGACTCAGCACCATCAACATCTTTTTGTCAGAGGTGTCATCACGGAGTTGAAGTGAGTAGCAGCTGTGAGTCAGGATGGCAGCGTGGGCTCTGGCATGACAGGGAACTGCTTTTCCCACTCTCTGCCTGTTCCATGAGCCACCAGCCCCCACCAGCTCGTTCACAGGCTGCTGCAGACCACGAGAGCAGGATTAAATTCTTGGCTGGGAGGTAATTTTGTGGGTGTTTAGCAAACCATGTTGATGTCTGATCAGATTGAAACCCCTTTAATTGGCATTTCCTTATGGTGGATGAGCCCACAGGACAAAACAGATGCCTTGAGGCCAACAGAGCATCCTAAACAGGAAAATATCAACCCTCTGTACAGAGCATTTGGTATCAACAGCATGGTTTCTCCAGTGCTGGTGGTTTGCCTTGCCCATGTCCTGTTAGCCTAGTAGGAATGTAAGGAGCTCACACTAAATCCAAACCATCTTTGACAGCTTTCTAGAAAATGTTGTATAAATATATATTCTGATTTCTCATTATTTGGGCAAAGAACTAAAGTATCTTGAGAGAAAAATCTTTGTTGCAGCAGAAATCTGGGTATTTAAGGTGGTAGGAAATGCCATTTTCCAGCCTTGCCCTCCATGTCATCCTGACTTGTGCCTTACAGGAGCCAATTACATCCATTAAGGAATAGCACAAGAACCATAAACTAGACAAAATAAATCTGTGCTACTGTGAAACACACATAAAGCTGTAATTTTTAATGCTTTTGTGAGCTCTTTAAAGCACCATGGAACAGGCTGCAGGGAAAAGCAGGCATTT